TTAATTTATAATATGGCATACAAAGAAAATACAAAAGTAAATAGTAGGGAAATTAGGGGAGGGAAAAGAAAAGTTGATAGTGGGGGAAAGGCAATTGGGGGCGGGGGGGAAGCATTGACTTCCGACTCCTTTTTGCATTAAATAAGGTATTAATATCTAACCTCAATTTTTTACTTTTCCATAATAGTATAAACTAGCCATTTCTACAACACCAAATCTATCGAATCGGTGAAACCCCAAATCTAAGTTTAATTTTTTCCCCCATTTCAAGCACAAAAGTCCAGAAGTGGCTTTCAGGTAGAAATAAAGATATTTGTGTTTTTCTTTAATCAAAACAGTCAATTTAGCTACCTCTACTAACTCCGTCAGTTTTCGCAGCCATTCATCATCCTTTGTGGGGATTGAGGTGGACTTTCCATTTCTGTGCATAGTCATAAGTCACTTTGTTCAGTGCTGTTGTAACTTTGAATGGTCACTAAATGAACTGTTGTAAGTTGAGGGCTACCTGTATACATCTCTCTGTATAACAATGCCAGGATCAGAATAGCCCATCCAGTCTATAGAAATCTGGGGCCTTTCTTCATTTTGGGCCGGTGCAGTGGCTCAGTGGTTAAGATGCTGGGCTTGTGGGCTGGAGAGCTGGCAACCCAGGTTCGAGACCCGAGGGTCAGGCGACGGGGTGAGCTCCCATTCTTGCCCAGCTCCTGCCAACCTTAGCAGTTCGAAAGCATGTAAATGTGAATAGATAAATAGGTACCACTTTGGTGGGAAGATAACAATGGTTCGTTATGTCATGCTGGTGACCATGGAAACGTCTTCAGACAGCACTGGACTAATGGTGTTGAAACAGAGATGAGCACTACCCCCTACAGTTGGCAACAACTAGTGAAGTTAAATCCTCAGGGGCTCTCTTACCTTTTACCTTTATCTCACTCCTCAGTTAACTTCCTGAGTTTGAATTGGCAGAAAACTATTTTGTCATAACAATTGCTATTTTTTATTTCCAATTCCTACTTTTGATCTACAGTTTGTTCTTGACCCAAAAAAGGAGCTGGAATTTCTGTTCCTAAACAAGAGAGTAATTAAATTAGTTGTGCAAGATTTCTTGACTTTTTTCCTGCAGTCATTAAACAAATCACTATGATTGTTAAACAAAGTATGCTATTGGTTAAGTGGCTCCAGCTTCCCCTATTGACTTTATTATTGGAAGCTGGCTGGGAAAGTTGAAAATGCCAATCACATCATCTTAGATGCTACAATGATCATAAATAATGCCAGTTGCCAAGTGTGATTGTGGGGGACAGTGATACGGTCATAAGTATGAGGATCAGGTGTAACTCAAGTTTTTTTTCAATTTCACTGTAATTTCAAAGTCACTAAGTGAATAGTTGTAAGTTGATGAGTTCCTGTACAGGTAGACTTACGACCACAATTGAACCCAAAATTGTTACCAAGTGAAACATTTGTTAATTTTGCCCCCATTTTACGAACTTCTGTGCCACAATTGGTAAGTGAATCTGTTGTGGTTTGCTGGCAGCAAGTGCAGACGACTGAGGTCTCAGAGAGTAAGGAGTCAGGTGAGGGACCTGCATGTGATGCAGGGATGGGGCCAGGACCATCAGGAAGTGGAATGCTGCCTGTGGAGGCTGGCAGCCGTGATGAAGAAGTCCCCGAGGAGCCTGTGCCCAGTGCGCGTGCGTGCAGGGCTGGAAGGAAAGAGCAGCTGCAGCAGCACAGACGACTCAGGAATAAGGCTGCAAGGTAATGGCCCCTCCCTTAAGAGATAAAAGCCAGCTGAGAAACCAGAGTTCTTTGCAGGAAGCAAAGAAGTTTTTGCACTCAAACCTTCTGGATGTTCGAAATATCGAAATATATGTTTGGTGTTTGGAGACTCTTTGTGTTTGAAGTATTTCTTAGTAACTTTATCTAGTATTCTTGGCAGCCTTGCACAACCTTGGCAAGGCTCGTTCTTATCAGAGATAATTAGTTTGAAACAGCCTTTTAATCATGAAGGAACGGAATTCGTAAAGAATCATTAAAAGATTTTGCGAATTCTGTTCCTTCATGTTTGTTTCCTTGGAACAAGGTTTGGGTCAGAACAGAATCACTGCTGCTAAGTTAATAACATGGCTATTAAATAAATCTGGCTTCCCCACAGACTTTGCTTGTCAGGAGGTCACAAATTCACATGACCCAGGTACACTGAAACCTGTCATAAATACAAATCAATTGCTAAACATCTGAATTTTGATCACATGACTATGGGGGGGAGGGGTACTGCAATGGCCCTAAGTGTGAAACACGGTTATAACTCTTTTTAGTGCTGTTGTAACTTTGAACAATCACTAAATAAACTGTTGTAAGTAGTGGACTACCTGTACTGTATAGCCTTTGTTTTGATTTGCCACTGAACAGCATTATCTTCTTTTGTATGTGCAAAAATCACGGAGAAAATCTACCCATGTAGCTGCTAAACATTGACAATGACTTGATGGCAGATATTCAATCAATCAATGCCACCAGCCATTGCCAACCATCTGCCAATAGAATAATGAAAGGGAGACAGGGCAGGAGCAAGGCTTGGGCAAGCGATGAGTTTTGACAGATGATCACAGTGCCTGTCCAACTGAGCCATCCAACAGGAAGACCAAACCTATCAATCAAGGAGAACTGCTGGAAAAAAAAAAGAGACGGAAGCCCTCATAAAGCCTGAAAACCTCACCAAATAGCTGATCATTGGCTTGAGGCTGTTGCATAATAAATTGGGACAGCTGGCTCTCTCCAAACATGGTAGCACCACCTCTCTCACTTTACCATCCAATGAAAGCCAGCTTGGTTTGATATCAAACTCAGAGTTCTTTCAAATATCTAGTTTCTCCTAAGGCAAATAGCAGCCCACAGCTGTGGCTGCTCTTTCGTGAAGGGGTGGTGGGTGGGGAAGTAGCTTTCCCCACTCTCTGCAAATCATCATATTGCAATGAAAGAACAGGGAAGTGCACCATGTTTTCCACATCCTTAAAAGGCTTAAGGGAGAAATATTGATTGATTGATGCTTTAAAACCAGCATTGATGCCCGGCAATTGCCTGGAGAAGTCTGCCTTAATGACTATACCAAACTGGCTCTGTAAGGCCGGGTTTTGCAACCATGCTAAGATGCATGGATTTCAGCTCCCACGGCTGGCTAGGGAATTCTGGGAGTTGGAAGTCCACACATCTCAAAGTTGCCAAGGTTGGGAAACCATGCTCTAAATGAAAAAAAAAGTGACTTTAAAACAAAACAATGTAAGATCATTTAAGCCTGGCACATCAGTGGGCTGAGGATGAGATACATCCATGGCATATTTGTGCTGCATTTATGCGCAAGCGACATTTCAGCTCTGAATTTAGCTCTCTGGATTTAGCCCCAACCTGGTGCAAACTTGGTGTGTGGGTGAAAAGACTGAATTTTTGTGAGAAGCTTGTAGAGAAGAATGGTTGGCCACTCTTCAGACTTGTACAGACAAATGTTGAGAAATCTATTATTATTTTTAAACCCCGCAAGTAGAAATTTCACATAAGGGAAAGGGTGGGTCTGGACATTGGGAGGTTTTTTTGTTGTTGAAGGAACTAGTTTTACAAGACTGAACATCCGTAAATAGAAGTATCTGTGAATACACTGGTAACCACTGGTGGCCAACCCTATTGCTTAACTTTCTCAACTACTTGTAATCTTTATGACCATATTGGGACAAAAGCTTCCATTGCTAAACAAGGCAGTTAAGTGAATCACACCCAATTTCTTTTGACAAGGAAATCATTCAGTTCTTAAATGAAGCCTGCAGTCGTTAAGTGAACCCAGCTTCTCCCCTTGACTCTGCCAGTCACAAGTGGCTGGCAAGGTTGCAAATGGTAATTATGTGACCCTGGGATACTGCAGCCATTTAAATTCATACTGGTTGCCAAGTGCCTGAATTTTAATAACAGTGGGTTGCTGCAATGGTCCTTAAGTGTGAGGACAGGTTGTAAGTCACCTTTTTCAGTACTGTTTTAACTTCCAACGGTCACTAAACAAATGGTTATAAGTTGAGGACTACCTGTAGTGAGGTGCTGGGACTTGTTCAGCAAGCTGCGGTTTAAAACCAAGCCTAGCATTTACATCTGGCAACTTTATTCTGTTCCTTTATTCTGTGCTTGGCTTATTAGCAGAAACCAAATAAAAATATTAAATAGATCGGTGTTTCTCAAACTTGTCAACTTTTAAGACCTGTGGGTTTTAACCAACTCCTCCCCACTCCCCTCTCCGCCAAAGCAAGATCCTTGCCACGAATAAAACTGGTGCAAAACAATAATAAACAATAAAAAACCCACGCTCCTTGCTCTTCTTTCCTCTCCTTAATTTTTTTTCCCCCCCTTTCGTCTCTGCGTCCACTTTTCCTTCCTCTTCCTTGTCAGGCCAGGTGGATTTTTTATTTTTATTTTTGGGAGTTTGGTTTTGCAAAATTTTTATTAAGTTTCCACCTAGCCCAAAGACTGATATAAAATATGCCAAGAAAAATCAAAACAAGGGCAAGCGCAGGAAGAAAAACAGGGAGAAAAAGACTAACTTTTATTAAAGAATTACTCATCAGAAGAAAAAAAAATGTTACTGTGCTCCCGGCCCTCTTTTCAACAATTATCAGCAAACACCTCCCTCCCTCTTCAGCTTTGCAAAAATCCAGCCTCTCCTTTCATCCCCAAATCTAGAAACCGTGTTTCCCCACGTTTTTTTCCTACCTCAAAGCTTTAGAGCTGTTTTTCCAGTTCTAAAGGCACGTATTGTTTGGCCACATTTGCAAAGCCGCTTGGTTTTTTCCCTTTCGGAGCCGTTTTAATCCCTTGGCGCCCCGGGCCGGCTTCCTCCCGCCTGCTCCCCGCAACCCATGGCCCGCCTGCCTCTCTCCCCGCGGCCAGTAGATGGGGTCCGCCGGCGTCGCTTGCCCTCGCACGCAGCTTGCTTTTTCCTTCCTGCCTGGTTCCTGCCTTCCTGCCTTCCTTCCTTCCTCCAGCCCGTAAAGATGGACCCGCGGTGCCTCTAACAAAAGACCCCGCCAGGCACCCAGCTTTCGCCTCTCCTGCCGCCGCCGCCGCCTCGGCCGCCGCTGCTGTTTCTCTTCCTGCTCCTGCTTGATCGGGGTTTGCACGTCTGGCCGGGGAAGTCGGGTGCTTGGCGCGTCTGCGTCCCGGGGATCCCCTTTTGTCTCCGACCGCAGCGCCCCCACCCTCGCCCCCATGCCTTGCTGAGACGCTGCGAAGCCCACCCGGGGGGGCGGGTGGGGGAAGGACCCCCTTCCGCACCATGGGCGCCCCCACCTTCCCCCCCGCTGCTATAGAGGGGCCGGCCCGTCGCTAGGACCCTTCTTGGGCTGAGGATTGGGTCTCTTTGCCTGCCTGGGAAAGAAAAGTTGAGAGCACCCCAAGATCTGCCTCTCAAAGCACCTTTGGGTCTCCCTTTGCACCCTGTTTATTCTCTCCCCCACTTTGCAGATCCTGAACCCCTAAACTTCACCTCCGCAGTTATCCAGGCATCCTTCTTCCAATCTGTTGCCCCTCTTGTTGTGGGTGGTGTTTTTTTTTTTTCATACCTCCAGATTTGATCACAGCTTCCTGTAGCCTAATAGGGCTGGTTGCCAAGATAGCTGCTTTCCCTGCACCCCACTTTTTTTATTGGGAAAGCCCCCTCCTTTTGTTTGTTGAGAAACTTTCCCCAAAGGGCACCTGCCAGTTAAGGCTGTGTGGTTCAGATGGCAGCTCTTCTTGCGTAGTTCCACCACATCCTCATTCGTGGTTTTCCATCCCGTTGGAAGGGGATATTTTCACAACCTTGGGCCTTTTGGGTCACAGAAACCCTTCTAATATTTTGTAGTGAGCGCCCCCCACCCAGCATTTTCACACCTCACTAGAAAGGCAATAGACCTCATTTTCCAATTCGTGAAGTGCTCTTCCCAAACTTCCATTTATCTAGAGAGTGCCTCCCTTGCGCCTCAGCCTCTAATTGTAGCTTGCATTTCCTGACCCGTGGATAAGATTCCCCAATTTTTTTAGGCCTCTTGATATTTCAGTAGAGCCTGGGATTTCCATCCATATTTTGGTTATGTGGTGAGATAAAATCTCAGTCCTTTGTTCTCTATTCAATATTTTTTTAAATTAACGTAATCCCAGAAACCCTGTTTAAATGTCTTGTGGTTCCACAAAGCTCACCTATTAAGAGAAAGATGTTATACAACATTTCTGCTTTTTTCCTATAGATTTTCGAGCCTTCACATCTATTCTTTAGTCATTCTCTTTTTGTTTAATGTAAGTACAATATTCCAATTTTTTCTGTGCATTCTGTCGAAAACGCACCTTCTTAGAAATCATTCACTGATGTCCCCCACATCAGAGATTTGGTTAGAGAACTGATAGTCAGTTGCTTTGTCACCCCCGCTTTCAGCCAAGGTGTACACAATCCCTAAAAAAAACCCATATCAAACTATCCCAAAATATAATTTACTCTTTGCTGTAAATTTAAAATAAGCCAAGATACCTCTTTTCTTTTTAAGATTTTTTTTAAAACCTTAAGGGAAAAAAATATTACTGTACTCGTATAAAAACACTCCTTTGCTGGAGCACACAATTTTGCATGCGTTTATTTTGCTGGTGAGATTTGCCCTAATAATCCAGGTATTTTCTGCTGAATATTCCTCAAATCTCACTTTTGCAAACCGCAGTTGATCTGAATTCCAGAGGGCTGTTTTGCTCCTCTTGCAGTCTTGTCCAAAATCGGTGTCTCTTCCACCCACCTAATTTGTCTGATGGCTTTCCAAGACCCCAACCATCCACTTCAAGCTCAGCTTTGTAGCAATGTTTTTGGGGCATTGACGGGGTTAATCCAGCCACCTTTAGCTGCTGGGCTAGGTGCGGGCCAGAAATATTATTGCAATAATGGGGTACAGATAGGTCCCCCCCAGCAACAGCAGACAACGCTTGGCAATGCGATGATGGTGGACCCAGAACCAGATCGACCCATCGGTTATGGTGCTTTTGGTGTGGTATGGTGAGTTATTTACTGCCGTATAATGATAGAGAAGGATGAAGGTGGAGGCAGGAAAAGGATTGGAAGTGCAGGTATTTACAATCCCAATTCGATCCAGGATTTCCATTGCTAATCAAGATGGTTGTTAGGAGAGTAACACCTGATTTCTCAAGCTTTTTTGTCCTGGTTGTTAAGTGAATTATGGAGCTGTTAAGCAAATCTGGTTTCCTGCATTGGCTTTGCTTATCAGAAGTCAGCTGGGAAGGTTGCATGGGATGACCACATGACCCTGGGACACTGCAACCATGGTAAATGCAAATTGGTTACCAGGTGCCTGAAGTTTGATCACATGACCATGAGGGTGTTGCAACACTCATAAGTGCAAGGATTGGTCATAAGTAACTTTTTTCAGTGCTTTTGTAACTTCGAACAGTCCCTAAACAAGGACTACCTATAAATCATAATTGGGTGTTTAAAAATATTTTTTATTAAAGAGATTTTTAGGAAAAAAACGTACACATTTTAGAGAAGAAATAGAGAAAAACAATGCATTGTAAAATAAAGGAAATGGGAGCGGGGGAGAAAATAGGGGGGGGGAAAGTAAAATTGTTTTCCAAGATCTTAAAATGTATTTATCTTTGTCCTCTCTCTAAAATTACATTATGGTTGCCTCCTTCCTCTAGTCTAGCCTTTCTGACCACCTAAAAGTAAATTGTAAGTGGAAAGATATTTTTCTTCCTGCAGGTCTGTGACAGATCCTCGGGATGGGTCGCGAGTTGCACTCAAAAAGATGCCCAATGTTTTCCAGAACTTGGTCTCTTGCAAACGGGTCTTCAGAGAATTGAGAATGCTCTGTTACTTCAAGCATGACAATGTGAGTGTGGAACAGTGTGCGGAGCTGCTTCGGGGCCAGAGGTGGCCCTTCCTTCTTCCATAGCACCCTGGATTTGGGTTAGGTTTTCTCAGGCTTAGGAATGTGCATTGTGGAACTGTGTAGGCATATCTTGGTTTTTCAATCATTCTTGCTTCTTTTAGGATTTTTAACATTTTATATACCATTTTTACATTCTAATAATATGTACACTGCCCAGAGTCCCTCTGCGAGAAAAATAAGCGGTTTCAAAATAGTGCTTGGTTGTCTTCTTGCAAACATTTCATTCTGAGATGGTATAAGATCTCTTGCCTTGGGCAGGGGGTTGGACTAAATGATCTCCAAGGTTCCTTCCAGCCTTACGATTCTAAGATTATGACATTCCTCAACTAGGTAACATCATCACAATGATCAGATAACATCTGATGATGTTACCTAGTTGGGTAATGAAACATCCGCAAGAAAGCAACCAAGCTCAGAGAGCACCATCGACCCCACAGTTGCAGTGTGAGCTACAAATATTTTATATCGGTTTCAACATTTGATTAAATAAGTATTAGGTGGTGACTCCAGACAGATTATAGTGGAGAGGCAGCAACAAGAGCAGTTGATCACACATATAGTGACACTGGATATGTTTTTTATTCAAGTCAGTGAAACCATGCAATTCAACTCATATCCCAAAAGCGACTCCAGAATGTTGGATTTCCACAAGCTTCTTTATTGGGCAGTTGAACAGGAATGGACAAGAAGAAAAGCATTAGAGCGATATAATTTGGTGAGAAGCAGTAGAAGGAGATGGCCTCTCCCGGTCCTCTTGATCCAGGCAGGGCCTTGTAACTGAAGCTCTGAATGGAGTAGGCCAGAATTAATGGTGGCCTTGCTCCCTGGTGCGAAGAAGCTGGGAAAGGGCAGTTTTACCTCAGGGATGCGTACAAACTGATGATGTGTAGGAAAGAAGGACGTTTGATGAAGGGTCCCTTGTATTGCAGGTGTGGGTGGCAGGGCTGACCCTATTATTAGACAAACTCTGCAGGCTGCTCTTACCAGCTAAGTTTCAGTCCTGTTTCCGAGTAGCTACGTTATTAGTTGCTGTTGTCCTATTTTTATTACTAGGAGGAGGCGAGTGATACATTAGGCTTGATAGCTTGTCACACCAAGACATCATATTACAGTATAGCTGTTGGGCCCCATCACTGGTTTCTTATTTGCAATAGTATACAGGTAGTCGTCAACTTATGACCACAATTGAGCCCAACATTTATGTTGTTAAGTGAGTTTTGCCCAATTTTACGACTTTTCTTGCCACATTTGTTAAGCGAATCACTACAGAGGCTAAATTTGTACCACAGTTGTTAAGTGAATCTGGCTTCCCTGTTGACTTTGCTTGTCAGAGGGTTGAAAAAGGCGGTCGCATGATTCCGGGACACTGCAACCGTCATAAATATGAATCAGTTGTCAAGCATCCGAATGTAAATCACATAGCCATGGTAATGCTACAAAGGTCATAAATTGAAAAATAGTCATAAGTCATTTTTTTCAGTGAAGTAACTTTGAACAGTCATTAAATAAACTGTTGTAAGCTGAGAACTACTTGTATTTTCAGAATTTGGTTTCTTTTTCTCTTCAGGTCCTCTCAGCACTGGATATCCTCCAACCTCCACAGATTGACTGTTTTGAGGAAATGTATCCTTCATTCCACCTGTAGCTAAGTTATTTTCTTATTATTTTCCCTACTCTTCTGATGTTCCATTTTGTGCTATCTTTATGTTTCGTTGCTTTTTCCCCCCCCTCACTACATGTTACATGTGAAGAGAGGAAGTGAAATATTTCTTGATTATTCTTGCTTTTCTTAAGTCTGGTTTGATCCTTTTTTTTCCTTTAGTATATTTGTGTTTGGTTTGTTTTGATTTTTCTCTTCTCGCCTTTTAAAAATTTCCTTCATTTATGTACTGTTTTGGATTTCCCCCCCTTATTTTTATCATGCAATTATTTTGTAGTTTTTTGAGGTTGTCCTTGCCACCGTTCCTTGCCACCGTTTCTCAGCCTGTTTCAGCTATTTTCAAATGATCCAAGTTTATCTTGCCCCAATTTGTATGCAATATTTACTCATCTGAAAATGATTGAATGGTTCACTGGCTTTGCTCCAGTCTTTGAGGTCAACTGCAGCATAATATTCAAGGTAGGTTTTTCCATGGGATTGAAAATGCTAGGGAATCTGAATGCTCACTCCTCTAAGCCAGATGTCCACAGCCTTTGGATACCGATAGGTACACTTTCTATTTTAAGTCTTTCAATAGCTGGCATAGAGGGCCCTTGTTTACACAAAGGCAAGGAGAAGCTGCTCTCCCTTCGTTCTTTCAAAACTCTGAAGATGTTCTACACCAGTCTAAGTTCCTCTGTTGTTTGTGGGCAGCTGAACAACCTTCCCATAAAGCATTACATCAAGGTCTTCCTCTACTATGAGCCTCTTGAGGTCTGGTAGAGGACCGAGAGGCTTTCTTAGAAACTATGGTAGGACTTTGTTCTGGAGCCTGCCAGCTTCCAGTTTAATTTCTTTGGATAGTAAGTACATGAATCTAACAGAATTTGAGGTGGGCATGGAATCTGATGGACATCAAGGCCTGTGGGGTATGGATATCATACTGGAGACTGAGATGCTAGAGTCCTTTGCTTTCTATATAATGAAGAGTAATGAGAACGGATGGTCTCACAGTGGAATCCTTGATGTTGTTTGAGCTTGGTTATTTGCTCAGAGAGCACCAAGCTCTGTTTTCAAGCTCAGAGAGCATCAATGATTTCACGATTCAATTCTGAATTACATATATTCTTTTGTAATGGTCCCTGCCTCATCTCTGTGTCTATGTTGCAGCACCTTGATAGGACTGTCATATCTTACGATAATGTTTCTGCTCCACTTCCTCTCTCCTTTGTTATTTATTGCTAAAAGTTATGATACTATTCTTTTAACGTCAGCAGTCAACAACAAAAATTTGTTACATTTATTGGTTCAATTTTTATGCTGTTCATCTCATTAGCAAACAATTCTGGGTGGCTTACAAATATCAATGCTCACAGAAGCCACTACATCAGGTATCACTGCTTGATTGTTGTTGTTGTTTTAATTGTTAAGAATACTCTAATCTTTTCACAGTCCTCCATTAGAGTTTGTGGTGAGATTGTCAAAAATTCATAAAATTTGAGTGTCATTTGTGGGTAGGAAATACCTCATCTTGAGATTGTGCAGTGATATCTAATACTAGGAAAGATTTCTTATGCTTATTTTATCTTCACTTTTGTCTTGTTTTAGTTTCCTTGCAACTATGATAAGGAGTTTTCATACTGATTTTTAAAAATTCGTAGTAATAGTTACATTTAGTCCATTCTCACATGTGTTTCTTGTCTCAATTATCTGCATTTTTCTGTTTTGGAGATGCTTTTCATGTTTTCTAGTTATTTTTGATTTATGCCAGTCTTCCTTTAGTTTTGTGTTCTCCAAAATTGATGCAAGTTGACATCCAGCCCATGTATAGAGTAATAGGTTAGGGATGGCTGATCTGTATAATAATTTTCTTTCTTTCTTGTTTATTTTTTATTTTACTTTGTTCATGCCCTTTGAAATTTGTGCCTCCTAATTCTGTTGGAACCTGTTGGTTTTATAAAATGGTGGAAAAGTAATTTTTCGTTTTTACTTACAATGGGAAGAGCTGGGTATTCAGATGACCTCCATTCTCTGCTCCATTCTCCATCACCCTCCTTAACAATGACCATCAGTTATGTTATCACTGAATTGATGCAAAGTGACCTTCACAAAGTAATCGTTTCTCCACAACCGCTCAGTTCCGATCATATCAAGGTCTTTTTGTATCAGATCCTCAGGGGTAAGTCTGACATGCAAATGCCATAAATTGGGAACTATCCATTTGGGCAAAGTTCTTTATTTAGATTCAGTATGCATGTAGAAGAGAGGAGCTATCTGGCTTGGGGACCATATAACACGACAGGGATTGTAATTCAGAAGAAGAATGTGAACAAGTAGGACAATGTCTATACAGAGTTGACAGGCTGATGCATAGCTGGTAATTGTAGAATCACTGTTCCAAGTTAGAAGATTCCATAGCTCCATTGGTGGCTGCCAGAACTTAATCAAGATTAGGAATAATTGAAGGGGATGAGAAGCGAGGATGGGAATAATCAGAGGAATGGAAGATAAGTCTTTTGAAGAATCAAAGAGAGTCAAGGGTATTTATTCTATATACTCTCAAAGGAGAGACTGGATCTCAGGGGCTTCAAGTCCCATGAAGAAGACAATTCATTGATGGGATGCTATCTGTCTAATGCTTTCACAGTTGAGTGGTTAGCCAAATGAAGTATTTGGAGGAGTGTTGAGATCTTCCTTGTTGCATGTCTTTGAATTGGGATGGAGAGCCATGGGGCAGAGATCGAGTGGGGGTTGGATGAGATGACTAAACAACTTGTATTTCTGTTGTACCTCGTGAAGGATCTCTTCCATACGTCCTCTAACATTTTCTACTTTCATGTTGATCCACTTTCTTATGCCCTTTTCCCCTGCCTCTTTCCTTTGCCTTTCTTAACTGTCCTGTTGTACTTCATTCACTTTAATAGTTTTCCTCCCCTTTTTCCTTCTTTTCTGACATTTCTGGCACAGTTGCAATTCTATAAAATAAATCAGAGAAAGTTGATCGCTTGAGATCACTGCCATGACAGAATTGGCAACAACAGCTCTGAAACAAATAGCTTATTTTCAAAGTTTCAGAATCATGTGATTTAGCAGGCTAATCTCTTAGAAAAGAAAAGGAGTGTCCCTTCTAAAGTTATCGAAAGTTAAGGGAATGAATTTAGAGTTAATTTTAACCCTAAGCTCAGCATTTTGGCAATAGTACAGAACTTACATAGAAGTTTAATTTTGAAAACCATGTTGATAATACATAGCTAAATGTCTGGAGATTTTCAGTCATCCAGGTCATAGTTGTCCTAAGGATGATTTTTCAAGAGGCAACTGGACTTCCTTTGTTTTTCCTTGAAGATGTTTTGCTTCTCATCCAAGAAGCTTCTTCTTGGATGAGAAGGGAAAACATCTTCCAAGAAAAAACAGAAAGTCCAATTGCCTCTTGAAAAAGCACCTTTGTGATATGTTGATAATGGAAGGAAGGGTTTAATTTTACTTTTAATTTTTATTGCGTCTGTTGACTTCAATTAAGTTTGGGAACACCCAGTGTGTTTTTTCCCTCTCCTCACTTCTGCAGGGCTAAAATATTTGCACTCTGCTGGTGTCCTTCATCGGGACATCAAGCCTGGGAATCTGCTGGTCAATAGCAACTGTGTCCTCAAGGTAATTCATCCTTGTAGCCAATCCAGGAAGCTTTCAAGATAGCCACCTCCAAGGAGAGTCTGACATCCAGCAGTTTTAGCTATGACGGCCAAAGATTAAACGTTTTGTTGCACACCCTCCCATTCCAGCCACTATGAATCATGCTACTGTGCTAAGCATAGGGATGCTAGGTGTATAAATATGTGTATGGGTGTGATAAAGCTATAAGATGTCAAGTGTGGTGTTGTGCTCAAAGCCATCAGTGGTGACATTGCCCACCGTGCTGCAGATTTTAACACGTATCTTCAATAATTCCCTGTCTTATCGCCTGGCAGCTGATATAGCCGCAGCCACCAAATTGCTATTTTTGATGTGACAAAAGAAGGAAATTATTAACCATGCAAGAAGAGATCAAACGGGTTGTATTTAATTTAATTTAATGTGATGTGCTACAGTTTCAGATATAAAAACATGTATTTATGCATAGGTAGTCCTTGACCTTAAACTACCTGCCCATTATGATCCTAAGTTGTGACGGTCATTTAAGTGAGGCAACCTTGTGATCTTACTTAACGATCCCACCTCTGATCTCCTTCAGGTAGTCATTAAATGGGCCACTGGGGGCCTCAGGTGGGGGAGAAAACCTAGCGTAGGCCTAGGAAAACCTAGCGCAGGCCCAGGCTCACCTACCCCAGCCTTGTAGGGCCTCGCTCATCTTCTGAGACACCCTATGGTCTGCTTCCACCCCTTGATAACCCCATAGACCTTGGGTCTGCTTCCCCTACCCCTACTTGGGCCTTACATCCCTCTCTCCCCTGCCCCCCTCTGGTTCCTCACAAGCATGAGGTTCCCTAATATCGGCCAGGGAGTTCTGGGAGTTGAAGTCCACACATCTTAAAAGTTGCCAGGGTTGAGAAATACTAGCCTAGAGCCACCCACTCAGCTCCCATTTTAGAATGCACCTGAATTAATACCATTCAGTGGCATTGAAAGAATATTGATTCCCAGAAGGAGCAGCAGACTGTAGAGAAAACTAGGCCTGGAAGTTTTATTTCTCTAGAAGCTTCCAAAGGATTGACCACACCTTTTCATCTTTCTTTCAGATCTGCGATTTTGGTTTGGCCCGGGTAGAGGAACCAGATGAGTCCCAGCACATGACTCAAGAGGTGGTTACCCAATATTACCGGGCTCCTGAAATCCTGATGGGCAGTAGACATTATGGACGTCCAATTGATATTTGGTCTGTGGGCTGCATTTTCGCCGAACTCCTCGGCAGGCGCATCCTCTTTCAGTCCCAGAGCCCAATTCAGCAGGTATTTCAACAGGCTTTGAAGAAAGACTTGTGAGAATGTGTGGTTGCAGAAGGCATGAAAGAACATCTCGTGGTTCCACAAAATGTCCACCACATGACACCGAAAAAGCAACTTAACTTTCTTCTTTTCTTTCTCTCTCCATTTCTTCTTCTTCTCTTCTTCCTTCGATCTGTGGGTGGCAGTTGGACCTGATTACGGATCTCCTGGGGACTCCTCCCGTGGCTGCTCTCCGTTCAGCCTGCGAGGGGGCCCGTGCCCATATCCTGCGTGGCAGTCACAAGCCAGTGAGTACAACCCAAGCTGGGAAGGTAAAGAGTTGTGAGAGCAAAGGAAGCCTCTTAACCACTTTGATTTTTTTTTTCTAGCCATCGTTGTCTGTCCTTTACATGCTCTCTGGAGAAGCAACCCACGAAGCTGTGCATTTGCTCTGCCGGATGTTGGTCTTTGATCCAGTGAGTTGGCAATGTCGTCCAAGAAAAATTTAAGACCCCAGTCAAGTTGTCTCTTTTCCCTGTCTCTTCTTTCTCTCGCGCACATATATTCACCTCACTGTTATTGATCCGCTTGTTAGGAGCATAAATTGAAGACATAGAGATAAACCATCAGATATGCAGATATGATAGAAACAGTGCATAAGTAGTCCTCGACTTAACAGCAGTTCATTTAGTGACCGTTTGAGGTTGCAACGGTACTGGAAAAAAGTGACTTATGTCCATTTTTCAAACTTAGGACTATTGCGACCAAAATACAGGTGTTGGCAACTGACTCATACATATGACAGTTGCAGTGTCCCAAGGTTATGCGATCCCCTTTTGCGACCTTCTGACTAACAAAGTTAATTTCAGACCATCTCACGCATTTATGATCAAATTTTGTGTGCCTTAGGATAGCATACACTGAAATTAGAATAACGGTGATAAGCAATAAGAATAAGGGGCAATGAAAAAGACGCCTTTCTATGCAAAACCAGGCATTGAGTTGAGGTTTCATAACTGGTTGACCTATAAACCGGTGTTTCTCAACTTTAGCAACTTTAGGATGTGTGGATTTCACCTCTCAGAATTCTCCAGTCAGCATGTTGAAAAACACTGTTGTACAGATAGTCCTCAACTTGGGACCAGTCCCAAAGGTGCTTTTTCAAGTGGCAACTGGACTTTCTCATTTTTTCTTTGAAGACATTTCACTTCTCATCCAAGAAGTTTCTTCAGCTCTAACTGGTTGGTGGGGAATATAAAGATTTATGTGCCTTGCAGACAGCTGGTCATTTGCATCCTCTTAGAGGGTTGTTGAGGCTACTTGGAGATTATCTGTCCCCAGGATCACCTGAGTAGTGCTAATGGTTCATGTAGTCTGCATTTTTTCTAGAAATGTGCTCATACTCCCACACCCTTTGGTTACTCAGGTGATCCTGAGAACACAAATAAACCTCCAAGTGGCCTTAATGACTGGCTAAAAGGATGCAAACGACCAGCTGCCTGCAAGGAATATAAATCATTCCATTCCCCACCGTCCAGTCAGAAGTGAAGAAGTGAAACATCTTCAAAGAAAAACAAGAAGGTCCAATTGCCTCTTTAAAAGGCACCTTTAAGACAACCATGACCTGGGTGACTAAGAATCTCTACAAACCTTTAAAACTCAGCAACCGTTCAAAGCTATCACCTACCAGAAAAAAAGGGATTTATGATGCAGATCTGAAGTTCTGATGGTTCCTCAGTGCCACCACAGTCATGTGACTGCACTTTGGCTACATACCCAGCAACATGGCTACACTTACCGCTGTTTGCATTGTTCCAATGGTCGCATGACTGCATGTTACGATGGTTTTGTCAAAAAACAACACCTGCTTTCTGATTTCGGCACAGACCTGCCATAGCGAACAATGGATTTACTCAACGCCTGTGGCGTTCTCTTAATAACCGCCACAAAAAGTAGTAAAGGCTGGTCTTGTGAGTGGCCCACTTTACAAATATTAAGACTTATGTCTGTAATTGGAAGGCTCCAATAACAGTCATAACTCAAGGACTACCTGTATACAAGGGGACTTTGTGGATGATGCTGTCCTTCCTTCCGCAGGCCAAGCGGATCTCTGCCAAGGATGCTCTTTCTCATCCTTACTTAGATGAGGGGCGACTGAGATATCACACTTGTATGTGCACTTGCTGCTTTTCGGTCTCCTCCGGCCGCATTTATACTAGTGACTTTGAACCCCGGGCCGACCCCAAATTTGATGGCTCTTACGAAAAGAACCTCGCTTCTGTCTGGCAGGTCAAAGGTAATGGATCAAGTACAAATCTTGGGGTGTTCAGAAAGCTCCATAATAAACGTAGTGGTGGCACGGTGGTTAGAATGCAACATTGCAGGCTAATTCTGCCTACTGTCAGCAGTTTGATCCTGACTGACTCAAGGTTGACTTAGCCTTCCATCCTTCTGAGGTGGGTAAAATGAGGACCCAGATTTTTTGGTGGTAATATGGTGACCCTGTAAACCTCTTTGAGAGGGCTGTAAAGCACTGTGAAGCCTAAGTGCTACTGCTATTCTTAAGTCGCTAATTTAGGAGCTAAATATTGATCTTAACTGTCCTACATACATGAGGGCAATTAATCCACATAATTCTTCCATGAATTCCACCAGACTTTGGGATTTAAACCTTTGGTCTGATTTTTTTTTGGGTTGTCTCAGTTCTTCCCCATCCTCTGTGTTTTTGGTATCATCTTACATAATTGTGGAGAAGTCACTGCCTTGTGTTACTTCATCCTAAAAAGCACATCCCATTTGGGCCGCTGAATTTCCCAATTCTCCTGTGCAACCACATAGCACTAATGGCTTCTATTCACTGTGGAGGAGGAAGAGATTTCCAAAGAGGTGATGAAGACTTTGCAGTAGTAGGGATTTATCCGAATCTGCAGGTGGAGTTAGAAGTCAGAGGTCCCCAAACTCAGCAATGTTAAAACTTGTGGACTTCAACTCCCGGAATTCCTCAACCAGCATAGTTGGCTAAGGAATTCTGGGAAGTGAAGTCCACAAGTCTTAACGTTGCCAAGTTTGGGGACCCCTGTTATAAATGTACACGGGGCAAGTCCCTTCAATGGCAAGCTATCCGAATGTGTGATTCTGTTGTGATTCACTGCTGCTATTATCCCAAATAGTTGTAGCGGCCTTGGCTTGCCTGAGTTAGGAGAAGCAGAATGAAAATACATAGAAAAATAGAGGAGAAGAAAAGAGAGATATATATTACACAAATCAGGTTTGCAAAGATTTGGGGAGGGGGGGATTTTTGTGGCTCTGATGGTGACCAAATAAAAATGGACTCTTTTTTTCAGAACTGGTGCACAGGTTTATCTTGGAGCAGCAGCATGGGAAACGGGTCCCCCTTTGTATCAACCCCCAGTCAGCTGCCTTCAAAACCTTCATCCGGTAAGTCTCTGAAATTGGTGGCTCGTTGTATCATCCCCTAACCAGCAAGTTTGTGGTTCTGCCTTTACAGAAGGAGAGAGAGGAGGTAGTACAGGCAGTCCTGACTTACAACAGTTCGTTTAGTAACAACAGTACTAAAAAATGGCCGTTTTTCACAGTTATGTCCTTTGCAGCTTCGCAGGATCATGTGATCAAAATCTAGAAAGAGCGTAGAGATGAGCAACAAAGATGATCTGGGGACTGGAGGCTAAAACCTATGAAGAACGGTTGCAGGAAGTGGGTATGTCTAGTTTAATGAGAAAAAGGACTAGGGGTGACATGATAGCGGTGTTCCAATATCTCAGGGGCTGCCCACAAAGAAGAGGGAGTCAAGCTATTCTCCAAAGCCCCTGAGGGCAGGATAAGAAGCAGTGGGTGGAAACGAATCAAGGTGAGAAGCAACCCAGAATAAAGGAGGAATTTCCTGACAGTTAGAACAATTAACCAGTGGAACAACTGGCCTCTAGAAGTTGTGAATGCTCCAACACTGGAAGTTTCTAAGAAGAGACTGGACAACCATTTCTCTTAAGTAGTATAGGGTTTCCTGCCTAAGTAGGGGGTTGGACTAGAAGACCTCCAAGGTCCCTTCCAGCTCTGTTATTTTATTCTATTCTATTCTAAATTCAGATGCTTGGCAACTAGTTCATATTTATGACCCAAGATGATGGGATTGCCTTTTGCGACTTTTTAACAAATGGGGAACCCAGTTTTACTCAGCAACCGGCTTAGTAACTTATCAGCTGCAATGATTCACGTAAACAACTGCGGCAAGAAAGGTCGTAAAATGGGGCGAAACTCACTTAACAAATGTCTCACTTAACAGCAGAAATTTGGGGCTCAGTTGTGGTCGTAAGTTGAGAACTTGCCTGTCATATTTTTCCTCCTTCCCCCCCCCCCCCCCCCCGGCAGCTCCACAGCATGGCATTCTTCCAAGGTGTCCAAAAAAGAAGAGAGATGAAGTTGCTTCTTGGATGGCCGTGACGGAGGAAGAAAAGAAAGACAGCAGTAGATGGACAGAAGACACGAGGGGTTGGCATTGCTGCTGGCAGCTGTGAAGAGAGGAAAAGGAGGCAGAGGCGCTGCTCTTCATCTTGCACTCTTGAATATTTTGACTCACAGACAGATGCATTTGGGAAAGAGGGAGGGAGAGAAAAGTCTGGGTCATTATTACTGATATTTGGAAGTGGACAAACTGGGGAAGGGATTTCCCCCCCCCCACCAACACTGGTGGATGAGTTTTCCTTTCCCGTGTTCCTGTACTGCACTGGAAAACTGGGTTGTAGGCATTGTCTTTGTGAATTCTTTCCCTTCCTCCCCGGCTCTGCACCAATATTTTCCTCTCCTTATACATATGGGGTCTTACCTGGCTTCCTCCGAGGTGCCTGTTCTTTCTGTTTCAAAGAATCTCCCCCCTACACAAAGACTCTTGTGTTTCTCAGCCGTGTCTACTTAGCATGGCTGGCTAAGGAATTCCTGGAGTTGAATTCTAACCATTTCAAAGTGAACAAGGTTAAGAAACACTGCCTTAGACTAAGGATAGATGAGTTTTTCCCCCAAATTCCCTTCCCCTTGAAAGATTTCTTAAATAGGGATTGGCGGTAGAAATAAATAAGGCTCAATTTTCCAAATCTACCACACTTCTTGCAACCAGGGACTGCATTTTTGAGTCCTTGTCTTTGGTCTCCGGGAGTTGCTGAGAAACCATGTGGTGTCCTTAAACCTGTCTTACACAGGTTAAAAAACAACAACCCCACAACGTATTTGGGATAAGATGCTAAATATTTCTTTGGTGTGTACTTTTGGCCTACCTGCCTTCCAGGTTTTCCCTTGTTCCCAGCATGGCACCTTCTAAGTAGTTGGAGGCCCTGACGCATTTCTGCTGTATTTTCAGAAAGTGCTTCTTTTCTTTAAAAAATACTTGGCGTTTTCAGAAAAATTGAGGTTTTGGCCTTGATGATGGATGTGGAATGCTTGTTATGTTCCCTCTGCCTTTCCTGCCTGCAGCCAGCTCAACCTCCTTCCTTGATTCAGTGTATTCCTCCATTAATTTCATTACCACCCCCTTCAAAAATCTACCTCTTTTCTCCTAGTGGGTGTCACGTGTGCATGTGTTTGGGATATTTGTGTTATTAATTTTGTATTTTTATTTTGTCGGTGGTTGATGATTTCTTTACTTGGCTGGTGTTTCATCTCTTTTTGTCAATGACCCATTATTAATTTATGATCAGAGCAGTTTATATACTAGTTTAAATCCCGAATGTGTGCATATATTTCTTCCTTGTGTCTGGGGAAAAAAAAACAACGCATGGGGGTGGGGCGAAGCACCAATAACCTAGAACCAATAACCTGGAAACTTGAACTGTCTTTGGCTGTAATAACCCCCTTCCTTAATTTAATTGTGCTCCATAGTAGCTGAATTAAATTTATGCTGTATATTTTTCTCCTGTAGTGGATTTGGTTTGTCTCCGTGACTTTTTTCCCTTTGGATGGGATCAGCTGTTCTCACTGCTGAGCGGTGGAAAAGCTGTCACCTGAGTTAAAACTAAGTCTGATAGGAGGAAGTGCTTTGCTCTCAGCTGACAACTCAGAATGGGTGCGCCCAGGAAGTGATGTGACTTGCTGTCTATCCCACATCCTTTTCTCCACTGTTGTCAAAGGCAAATCAAGGGTATGACGCTCTTTTGGAGGCCAATATGCTAGAACATTGAAGACAAAGATATCCAGCACAATTTCCAACATCTGAGGTTAGAATTTGTTTTTCCTCCCTTTGTTACAACTTCGCTTTTTGCCTCCCTTTCTCCCACCCGTCCCTTCCAGTCCCTTAAGCCCCTTCTCCTATGCCTCTGAGCTGAAAGCAAACCTCACATTTCTTCCCTGGTATCCTTTGTTGGGCTGGGATTACAGCTTCAGACTTCTCAGCTATCATCTGAAGGGAAAGTAGTACAACTTTACAGAGAAGAAAAGAGAGACGGCTAGCTTTAGACCCTGTCTTAGTGCTGTTCTTTTGGACTTGTGTTGTCATGGTGACTAATCCTATCTTTCTTTTGAAAAACTCTCCATTTAGCCTTGTTTGATAAATTAAGGGCAATCTACTTTGTTGGAGGCTATTTGAGGATGGGCCTTCCTAATTATTCTTCAGTTTTTTTAATGCTACCATGGCAAATTTGGACCTAAAGCAAGGGTCTTCAACTTGGCAAGTTTAAGACTTGTGGACTTCAACTCCCAGAATTCCTGAGCTAACATGACTAGAGGAAGAATTCTGGGAGCTGAAGTCCACAAGTCTTAAAGCTGTCAAGTTTGAAGATCCCTGACCTAAAAGTACAACAGCCTTTTTCAACCTTCTATTCAGATAATTTGGCCTGTATATTCCTGCTGAAGAGTAATAGCTATGTAGCAACTTGAGTTAATTTGAAAAAGTACTTTGGAGAACATTTGTAGCCACAAATATAGTGCTTGTCTGTAACTCTTTAAAGCAGCCTTGTCTTCTGGGATCTTACAACTGCCCTCTGCAGCTGATATGACAGCCCAGGAAAAGATACGGTTGCTTTAAAGAGTTGCAGACATGTGCTATATTTGGTATATAAATCCAAAGTAATACACAGCCCTAATACTGAAATAGTACAAACTGGAGAAAACTGTCCCGGGAGAAGATACAATCAGGGCTTCGAAGAACTGTACAAATGATTGGGATTTGCAAGGCAGAGTTCTTGTATTCTAGCCTTTTTTCAGTCATGTGTCTTTCAAATGTCTTTAGGTTACAATTCACAGAATTTCTAGCTGATGATAATTACAACAGCTGAGTATTTGGAGAGCTTATCCTACACATCTAGAGAGCATCAAGTTAGTACTGGTATAAGCCATTGCACTTAAAAGAGTTTTGTTGGGCTGCCAATTATGAGCTGTTGTTGAGTTGTTAGGCTAAGTTTGCACAACACTCTCACATCCCTCAGTTGCGTCAAAGATTGCTAACTCTTTCATAAGTTCTCTGACCCGTTTCCTCCCATTTTCCTCTCCATCCAGCTTTTTTTTTTCTAAGAAAAGTAATATTGGCTCTAGATGCAGCCGTTTTGATCTGGCTTGGTTCTTGTCCGTTTGCTGTCATGTTGGGGCCCCCAACGAATGTTGAGATGCTGCCTCCTTCCACTGCCTCCCCGCTAAGCGATTGTGGTAACTGCTTGCTGATCATGGTAAGCCTGGCGACCGTCGCAGCTGTGTTCATCGTGGTCTCAGCTGTCCTCTGTGAACGGGTTTTCCGGGGGTCCCTGCCCCAGGAAACAGGAGCTGTGCCGACTGTGTGGAGGCAAGGAGGGACACTGTGGATTGAGCCCCACCACAATAATAGACAACCAGATGTCCTCTCAAGGCCGTCAGCTACCGTCCCACTTTGGATTCAGCGTTCGAATGATTGGTTTCTGGATGTTTCTCCTGCAGGACCCGACAGCTACAGTTCCACTGAGGACCTCCAGAGAGAGACCGCCAGCCCCAGCAGCACTAGCCCTCTCTGGAGCCACAGCGAGCAATCCTGGGCAATCCAGCCGCACGTAACTCTACCAGACATCAATAATTTCTTCCGAAAGAATAGCCATGTTACCTGTAGTTCTCAGCACTTGGTTTAATTGAGGGACATCTAGGGCAAAAAGGCCCCGATCTTCTTCTCTCTTGAGTCCAAGGCTCAAAAGTCTTAGAGTAGCTTACCTGATGGCTGATCAGCTATATCTTCTACTTCAAAACATACCCCAAAAATGCTTTGGTATGAAAACAAACTTTGTTCCACGAGACTCCCCTACTTAGGAGCAAGGGAAGAGAATGGAAAATGGGTCTTGAAAAAGTTCTAGATCATTGTTGAATTTATGTTTACCCACAAAGAAATAAAAGGGGGATTAGTATAGATCTATTTCAAGCTATTTAGCTCTCATCAGCTTAAGGGATGAAACTCAAATACTTTAGCCACCTAATGAGAAGGAAGGATTCACTGGAGAAGAGCCCAATGCTGGGAACGATTGAAGGCAATAGAAGAAGGGGACAGCAGAGAAGGAGGTGGCTGAATGGAGTCACTGAAGCAGTAGGCATGAACTTAAATGAAGATGGCAGAGGACACAGGAAGGCCTGGAGGAACATTGCCCATGGGGTCGCAATGGGTTGGACACAACTTCGCAACTAACAACAACAAAGCTGATTGATGAGAGCTAAGTAGTTTGAAATAGATCTATACTAGTCTCCCTTTATTCCTTCGCAGGTAAACATAAAATTCAACACAAAAATAGTTTATCACGAAAGCAACTGCCTACGAAGGCTCCTGGATTGGGGCTGAAAGGCAAAAATAGAAGCAGTATGCTCCATCCCATAATTGGGTAGACCAGGTTGCCTGAAAGACTTATCTCACCGGAAAAAAATCAACAACACTTCTAAATCATTGTCAATCTGGTGACTGGGGCAAGTATTTAAAGGCTGAGGTGAAAGGAAACCAAAATTTTGGAAGTAGAGGTGTGTTCCTTGGGAAAAAAAATGGTACATCATAAAGACCATTAAAAACAACAAGGAAACCAATAACAATAGTCCTCGATTTATGACCACGATTGAGCCCAAAATTTCCTTTGCTAATGAAATAGTTGTTAAGTGTGTTTTGCTCCATTTTGCGACCTTTCTTGCCACTTGTTAACTAAATCACTTCAGTTAGTAACAGGGTTGTCAAATGGCTTCCCCATTGAGTTTGCTTGTCAGAAGGCCGCAAAAAGGGATGACACTGGGACATGGTTGCCAAGCAACTGGACTTTGATCATGTGACCATAGGGAGGCTGTAATGGTTGTAAGTGTGAAAAATAGACAAGCTGCACTTTTTTCAGTGCCGTTGTAACTTTGAATGGTCACTAAATGCATGGCTGTAAGTTGAGAACTATCTGTAACGGTTTACATTAATTATAGGTACTTCTTGTCTTATGAACAGTCCTTGACTTATGAAGAGTTAGTGACCATGCAAAGTCATGATGGACCTCCATTATTTGGGGTGTGCTCAGCCACAGGCCCGCTCTGGCGGCCATTTGCAATATCCCATGGCCCACATCACTGTGTTTTAGAACATTTTAGCTAAAAACCAAAAAGTAGCAAACTTATCCACCTCTGCATTTGCTTTACAACTACAACAAAAAAAGTATCCTAAAGTTGGGTCCATTACGGTCTTAAGTCTAGGACTACAGGTAGTCCTCTACTCACAACAGTTAGTTTAGTGACTGTTTGAAGTTACAACGGCGCTGAGAAAAATGACTTATGACCATTTTTCACACTTGCAACCGTTGCAGATCAAGTTCAAGTGCTGACAGTGGCAGTGTCCCAGGGTCATGTGATCATTTTTTTGCAACCTTCTGACAAGCACAGTCAATGGAGAAGCCAGATTCACTTAACAACCATGTTATTAGCTTAACAGATGCAGTGATTCACTTAACAAATGTGGCAAGAAATGTCGTAAAATGGGGCAAAACTCAACAAATTTTTTCACTTAGCAATATAAATTTTGGTCTCAGTTGTGGTCATAAGTTGAGGATTGCATTACCTGTCATCCCTTTTTTTTAAAGCATTCTAAACTTATGTACACTCATGATTTTTCTACAAGAGGGAGGGGATGGGAGAGAGAGATTGATTGATTGTCTACTGCTCAAATGTTGGTTGGCATAAAAGGAAGGAACCAGTACCCGTGTGTGTGTGTGTGTGTGTGTGTGTGTGTGTGTGTGTGTGTGTTCAGAATAAGGCTGGTAACGACCACAAAATTTGCATTTTCTCCTGTACCTTGGTTACAGATTGTTCTCCACAGTGGCTGGTCAGGTCCAACTTCAGGGCCTTTGTGGTTTCTAATTAAAACCTTATATTTTCCTGGTCTGAGGTGGAATAAGAATATTTTAGAACTGTCTGTTCCTAAGGACAGAAGGTATGAATGTTAATTTATCTAATTTTGCATTTCTGCAGCAAGGGACCAGAACTATGTCCTAAATTTCCAATTCTTTAACCTTTATAGTTCAAAGGAGTGAACTGCAGTTCTTAAAAGCATGAATGTTACAGAAGTGTACCTGAAAAGGCAATCATGGTTTAAAAAAAACAACAGTAAAAAAAACGAACCAAACACAACACACTGGGAAAGTTTGTATGCAAAAACTATTCACCCACAACAGGCACCATTTGAAGGGAAACTGTTGTATGCTCGTGATTTCTCTAACTTTCTGCTTTTGGCCCTCATGGCTGATCTGTGCGATTGGCCCACCACCCCATAGGAAGGGATGCGCGTGAAGATCTCTGTTTATGGAAGATGCCAATATTCCTCAGATGTCCTTTGAAGGACACCCTCAGACAGAGCCGCACCCTCTGATGCCAAACGCATCGTTCCATTGGTTGCACTGCCAAGGCTTTAATCGTGTTTATTCTTATGGGTTCATGTTTTACTGTTAGAATAAATGTTAATATGATTAGTTGCTCTGAACACCTTGCAGTAACAGTAAAGAATAAAGACAATTGCCTGGAACAAAGACACACATAAACTACTGCCGCAAAACATCCCTTGTGTTCTTTTGTGGTCTTGAGTCACGAATGGCTCTGAAGAGCAGAGGGGAACCGTACAGAAAGGCACGCACCATCTTGAAACCAATCTGAAATGCGAAACCGGCCTGGAGATCTGAGTCAGTAACCATTAAAAAGCTTTTTGCATCACACTCGTCCCAAAGGTGCTTTTTTCAAGAGACGACTGGACTTTCTGGTTCTTCTTTGAAGATGTTTCGTTTCTCATCCAAGAACCTTCTTCAGTTCTGACTGGATGGTGGGAAAGTACCTTGGGGACAATCATGGCCTGGATGACTGAGAATCTCCACAGATATCACACTCCTTGCTTTTCTGCCTGAACTGAATTAGTGCCTACTGTGGCCGAAACAGCTGCCCAATGCAGAGGAACATAACAAACTTGAGTGTTAACAACGGCAAATAGGTGGTACTCCAGAGGTTTCTGTCAGAGAATTCTCCATAATCTGAACTATCCTGGGAGTTGTACAGGTAATCCTCAATTTACAGCAGTTCATTTAGTGACCGTTCAAAGTTACAATGGTACTGAAAAACGTGAATTTACGACTGTTTTTCACAGTTACAACCATTGCAGTATCCCCATGGGCTGCACGATCAAAAATTCAGAAGCTTGGCAACTGGTCCATATTTATGACGGTTGCTGTGCCCCGAAGCCATGCGATCCCCTTTTACAACCTTCTGACAAGCAAAGTCAGTGGGGAAGCCAGATTCACTGAACAACCGGGTTACTAATTTATGAACTGCAAGTAATTCACCTAACAACTGTGGCAAGAAAAGTAATAAAACAGTGCAAAGCTCACAGATGTCCCACAACAGAAATTTTGGGCTCAATTGTGGTCATAAGTCGAGGACTATATACCATCCTAGCTATATTTAAGGTGGCAAGAATTCTGTTTCATTAATTCGGGTTCATCAGTTTCTCATCACATTTGCTCTTTACTGGTTAAATTGGCCTGTAGATGTTTGGTTATTTGTTTAATAGGCTTAAATGCCCCCAATCAGCCTGAGCAATCTACGGCAGGGGTCTCCAACCTTTTGTACCCCCGGGACCACCAAAACTCATAATTTTAAATCCCATGGACCAGAGACCCTGGGAAAATCCCCAAAAAAGTCTGCAGGAAAGTTCCCCACTCCATTTTCCTACCAATCGATCATTCTTTATTTGAGATCACAGGATACCATCTACCGCTCTGTTCTAAGGGGGAGGGAGGGAGGGAGGGAGAGAGAGACTCTCAATCTTTTGGCTTCATGCAAGAAAAGCCGCAGAAGCAGCAGAAGTCTTTTTTTCTCTCCCCCAAACTCCGCCAGAAATGAATCTTTGTGAGACTTGTCACACCGACGTAGCCTCTTGGAGCAGGAGACCTTGCAGGGTCCCAAAGACTCATTTCTGGCGGAGTTTGGGGGAGAAAAAGAAAGACTTTTGCTGCTTTCCTTGTGTGCAGCCAAAAGCAGAAGAAAAAAGTGGAAAGAAGCAGCCCGGTGGCCAGGCCAGGCATCTGGGGGGCAAGTTCCCCCCTCCGCCCTTTCCTCCCTCCCCTCACTACCTCGTGTTCTTCACAATACAAGCAACACAAGTCTTGTGTTCCCACGGGCCATGTGGGCAGGGCAGCCTTGTGTTGCTGCGCAGCCTGGATTAATTGTTTTGGGGGGTGCTTTGGGGTTGACATTTCTCTGCGGACCACCAAAATTTTCTTAAGGACCACCAGTGGTCCCCGGCCCACTGGTTGGTGACCACTGATCTACGGTACATACCCAACCTCCCTATGTAAGATCAAACATATACAGATAGGTCTCGTTTAACAACCTATCAGTTAGTGATCAGACCCTGGTTCCAGAGCACTTGGCCAACAGCTTACCTTTATAGCTACCTGCAGAGTTCCATGCTCATGTGACCATTTATGGCACATTTTTGGCAAAAAAAAAATCCATAGGGAATATGTTGATTCACTTAACAACTACAATGTTCACTTAATGGCCTGGCATTCATTTAATGACTGCTGCCAAAAAAGTCATAAAGTCAGGTCCAGTCATGTGAGTGCCTTGACTTGTGATGGTCATGAGTTAACAGTGAACTTCTGGCTCCATTACACTTGTGAGTTGTGGACTACGCGTATGGAAAATGAGAAATTATCAGAATGATCTATACCATTCATCTCTTCAGAAGAAGTGAGAGATACAGATGTTATAGTTGTCGTGTCTACAGATAGGGGTTTTTATAAGTCTGATTTCACCCACCCCCATTCTCCCCTATTTTTACATCCTATGTGGTGGTTTCAAGAGGCAGGTGCTCTTATGACTGGTTTTGGCCTATATGGGATTTTTCAGACACAGATAG